TAGCCCCTAACCCACTCTGCCTGCCTGCCTGATCACCCCTAACCACTCTGCCTGCCAGTCTGATTGCCCCTAACTGCTCACCTGCTTTCCTGATCACACCTAACCACTCTGCTTGCCTGCCTGATCGCCCCCTAATCACTCGTCTGCCTGCCAGATCACCCCTAACTGCCTCTGCCTCAGCCCCTGCCTCAGCAGCTTTGGCCAGAAGGACGTCCAGAATGACGTCTGGAAGGTCATTCAGCTGTCCGGTCTAATTAGCATATTACTCTTTTATTATTATAGATATCTAGATAATCGCTTCTCGGCCTTTTGGCTAAGATCAAGTGTAGATATCTAGATAAGTGAGACAATAGATTTCTTAGACAGCTGAGAGAGTAAGTGTAAGAGACTAGCTTTCTCCTAAGACAGCCTCTGGAGATAGAAAAGGAAACATCCAGGCCAATGATAGAAATAACCCACATAATTAAATTCTGATTTTTAACTGGAGAACCTGGGATTGTATTTTTTATAATTGCACTGAGCCTAAACTCTACATGCTGTCAGTGATAGAATCATAACCAAAGAACATCAGAAGGCAGACTAAAATTTGCTCTTGTCAAGGGCCTTAGAGGCTGGGGAGTGTTGTGTTCCAGAAACCATTCAAACACAGAGGGAGGAGCTGGCCATTTGCAGCCATCTGGCTGCCGTTCTACCACACCCTCCTCTCCATCCTGTCTGAGACTGCACTCTGGGGCCTGCCTGAAGCTGGACCAGATTCCACATAAGTGGGCGTACAAAGTGCCTTTCCCTGGACAATCATCCAAGGACACTTAGTGTTTCTTCTTGGGTCTCAGTCCTGGGTTTCTTTTCCCTCAACTTTGTTAATTTTGTAATTTAGCTTTTTGCATCTTTTCAGACCATCTAATAAAGATGTAAGGAAACAAAGGCCAAATTGAAAAGCAGGGCTATAGAATTGAGCTAAATTAAAAATGGTCATTTGGTTCTCACCCCAGTAAATCCTAGAACTACCAGCTTATTCTCCCGTATATCTGTTTCCTCCTGTCAACTAAATGCCAACAAGAACACATTGTCTCAAAAACGTTAACTTCTATTTTGCAGATAGTTGCAGAATTCCAGGCCACTATAAGAATTTTGAGCAACTAAAGCAAGAACCATTAATAAGCAAACTGTCATTAGCTTTGAACAATTAATCCAGGTCAAAAATAAAATTATAATATTTAATATTTAAATAGCAGGTTAAAGTTTACAGAATGTTTTATGCCCATTTTCTCATTTGATAGTTCAACTCCCAAGATGACTCCAAATGATTCTACCCTCTGGTGTTCATGCCCTTTGGAAGCCACTCCCACATTGAATAGGGCTGACAGGTACAGCCAATAGAATATTGCAGAAATGATGGAGTGTGACCTCCATGAGACCCACATTGCAGCTTTCACCTTACTCTACTCATGGGTCACTCTCTCTAGGAAAAGCCAGCTACCATCGGTGAAGACACTCAACAGCTGTGATGGTTAATTTCATGTTAACTTGACAAGGCTCTGTGGGATGCCCACATAGCTGGTAAAACATTACTTCTGGGTATGCCTGTAAGAGTGTCTCTGGAATAGATAAGCATTTGAATCGATAGATTGCATAGAGAACATTGCCCTTACCAACACAGGTGGACATCATCCAACTCACTGAGGGTCCGAAAAGAATAAAAAGGTAGAGGAAAGGCAAATCTGCTCTCTCTGCTTGAACTGAAACATCTATCTTCTCCTGCCTTTGGACATTGGCATTCTTGGTTTCGGGACTTTGGGGTTTAAACTGGCACTTACACACACCAATAACCTTTAGATTCTTAAGGCTTCAGACTCTAAATTATACCAGCAGCTACCCTGGTTCTCCAGCTTGCAGACAGCAGACCAGGGAATTACCTCGGGCTTCATAACTGCATGAGTCAATTCCTGTAATAAAATCAATATATCTGTGTGTCTCCATATATTCTATTTGTCTGCATAACACTGACTAATTTAGCAGCCCACACAATGAGGAACGGAGGTCTCCTGACAACAGCCAGTAGCAACTTAGAAGTGGATCCTACAGTCCCTGTCAAGAATTCAGATCATTGCAGCTTCTCCCAACATCTTTATTTAAATGGCAGGTTTCTTGAAATATAGTTAATGTCATGTATCATGCAATCCACCCATTAAAGTGTACAATTTTAGTATATTCACATATATGTGTAACCATCACCACAGTCTTTTAGAATATTTTCATCACCTCAAAAGAAATCCCGTATCTCTTAGTTATCTCCCTATTGTCCCATAGTCCCCAACCCTGAGCAACTACTAATCTACTTTCAGTTTCTATCAATTTGCCTCTTCTGGACATTTTATTTAAATATAATCATATAATATGTGGTCTTTGGGGACTGGCTTCCTTCACCTAGCATAATGTTTTCAAAGTTTATTTATGTTGTGGCATATACCAGTACTTTATTCATTTTATAGATGCATTAAATTTCATTATGTGGATGTATCACATTTATCCATTCATCATCAGTTCATGGATATTTGGGTTGTTTTCAACTTTTTTCTATTATGAGTAATACTGCCATAAATATTCATACACAGCTGTGTGTATAAACATACGTTTTCATTTCTCTTTGGTATATACCTAGGAGTGAAATTGTTGGGTTATATGATAACTCTATATTTAACCATTTGAGGAACTACCTGAGCGTTTTCTAAAGTGATTGCCCCATTTTATATTCCTACCAGCAGTAAATAAAGGTTCTGATTTCTCTACATGTTCACCAACACTTGTTATAGCTGCCTTTTTTATTCTAACAATCCTAGTGGGTATGAAATGACAACTCGTTGTGGTTCTGATTTGCATTTCTCTGATGACTCATGATGTTGAACATTTTTTTCATGTATTTAGTGGCCATTTGTATATCTTCTTTAAAAAAACGTCTGTTTAGTTACTTGGCCCATTTTTAAATTGGGTTATTTGTCTCTTAATATTGAGTTGTAAGTTTTTATATATTCTAGATGTCTCTTAATAGATATATGATTTCCAAATATTTTCTTCCATAGGGGTTTACATTCTACTTTCTTGACAGTGTTTTTTGAAGCACAAAATAATTTCATTTTAATGAAGTCCAATTTTTAACTATTTTTTTTCTTTCATGTCTTCGGCTTTTGGTGTCATATCTAAAAATCCACTGTCAAATATTAGATCAGGAAGATTTACCTATGTTTACTTCTAAGAGTTTTACAGTTTTAAGCCTTTTAATTAAGTCTTTGTCTATTTTGAGTTAATTTTTGCATGTGATGTGAGATAACCCAACTTTATTCAGCACCATTTATTGGAAAGGCTATTCTATTCCCCATGGAAGGGTCTTGGCAAAACTCAATTTCCTACAGACACATGGATTTATTTCTGGACAGTCAGTTCTATTCCATTGATCTATATGTCTATCATTATGCCAGTATACATTGTCTTGATTACTATTGTTTTATAATAAGTTTTTGTTCATTTGTTTTTGTGGGGGGATTTTGTTAATCCTCACCAAGGTTATTTTTCTCCCATTGATTTCTAGAAAGAGCGGAAGGGAGAGAGAGAGAGAGAGAGAGAGAGAGAGAGAGAGAGAGAGAGAGAGAGAGAAAGTTTTTAAGTTGAGAAGTATGAGTCCTTCACATTTGTTCTTCTTTTTCAGGATTATTTGTCTATTTTGGGTCTCTATAATTCCATATGAATTTTAGAATCAGCTGATATTCTGATAGGGATTATACTGAATCTGTAGATAAATTTGAGGAATATTACCATGTTAGCAATATTAGGTTTTATGATTCATGAACATGGAATGATTTCTATTTATTTAGATCTTAATTTATTTCAAAAATGTTTTGTAGTTTTTAGAGCATAAATTTTATGCTTCTGATGAATATATTTCCAAGTATTTCATTTTTTAATAATATTATAATTTTTAAATTTTATTTTCAGATTGTTTATTGCAAGTGTATCCTACAAACTAGCTGAACTTATTTATTAGTTCAAATAATTTTTGTGTATTCTTTAGGATTATCTATATACTAGAGGCACGGTGCACGAAATTCATGCACCGGAGGGGGGGTCCCTCAGCACGGCCTGCACCCTCTCGCAATCCAGGCAGGCTCCTAACCGCTGGCCTGCATGACTGCCTGCCTGATCACCCCTAACTGCTCGCCTGCCTGCCTGATTGTCCCTAATCACTTGCCTGACTGCCTGATCACCCCTAACCACTCACCCACCTGCCTGATCGCCCCTAACAACTCGCCTGCCTGCCTGATCACCCCTAAGCACCTTCTGCCTCAGGCCCCACTACCGTGGCTTCATCCAGAAGGATATCCGGAAGGTCGTTCAGCTGTCCAGTCTAATTAGCAAATTATGCTCTTATTACTATAGATAAGATCATGTAATCTAAAATATACATTGTTTTACTTCTTCCTTTCCAGTCTGGGTGACTTTTTATTTCTTTTTCTTCCTTAATTGCCTTGACCAGATCCTCTAATACAATGTTGAATAGAAGTGGAGAGAGTGACATCCTTGTTTTGTTCCTGGCTTTCAGGGGAAAACATCTAGTCTTTCACAGTTAGGTATGAGGTTAGCTCTGAGTTTTTCATAGACACCCTTTACCAAGTTGAGGAAGTTCCCCTCTATTTCTATTTTCTTAAGTGTTTTTAACATGTAAGTGTGTTAAATTTATCAAATGCATTCCCTATCTATAATAATAAAAGCATAATATGCTCATTAGACCAGACATCCTACCAGACGAAGCCGGGGCTGCAAGGGAAGCCCGGGTCCCGGGTGCCTGCCAGCGGCCACAGGGAAGCCCAGGTCCTGGGTGCCAGAGGGAAGCCAGTGCTGGCAGCCAGGGGAAGCAAGGCCTGCTCTTGCACAAATTTTGTGCATCGGGCCTCTAGTGTCTATATAAAACTGATCATTTGGTTTTGTTTTTCATTCTATTGATAAAGCATACTACCTTGATTGACCCACCAAAATCTTGACCAAAACCTCAGAAGAGGTACTACACAAGAATCAGCTAATCTGCCCCTAAATTCCTCACAGAAACTGTGAGATAATAAATGCTCATTCTTTTTCAAGCTACAAAATTTTAGGATAATTTGTTATACAGCAATAAATAATTAAGAACATTGTTATCACTGTTTTATAAATGAATAAATGGGCTTGGCATGTTTACCTGCTTTGTAATCCTGCCCTGGGTTATAGAATTAGATGTGGAAGTGGTTTGAACCAGGTCTTATGCCTCAAATAATAAATAGGTTTTCCTTCACAAATTTCTACTAAATTTGTTGACAGATCCCAAATTTACTGCAAACTTTTATCTCTGGTTGGTGCACCCGTCCCATAGTTCACTGCGCAGGCACTACTGGCTGAGGGGGCAGATGGGGACTGATATCTGACCTGTGCTTTTCCTGCCAAGCTGTGCACATAGCTCAGGGCTGCATTGGACCAGAGGAAATGCCCCTTTTCAAACGTGCCCAGAAGTAGTCTGACTGCCAAGTCATATGCCCAAATGGTTAATACTAGTTCTACATGCCAGCGAAGCAATATTAATCAGTGGGACTAATCCCAGACAAATTTTTAAATCTAAGACAAAAGTTGTTATCACCACTCTCTCTTACCCCCTCTCCCTCAAAACTTTTTTCTTAGGATGTGGTTGATCACCTTACATACTCAATATCACTTAATTCTCATAATTCTAAGAGGTAGATATTATTATACCCATTTTATTGATAAGAAAACCTACTGAGAGAGGTCAAATAATTTATCCAAGTCCCATAGATGGTAAATGGTGGAACTGAGGTTAGAACTAAGGTCCATCTGACTCTGAAACCTTCGCTCCACCCACCACACCTTGTTGCTCCATCTCCCTAATAAATCCATTGAGGATGTCTCTCTAGGAATATCAGCATTCTCATAGAGAATACCTGCTAAACAAACATTCAAGACCCAAATACATTCATCTAAAATGGTAAACTTATGAGCTTTGAGATATGAGATTATTTGGAAGCATTAAGAACTCTCAACATTCTTCCAAACATTCCACATAGGTGACCCTCCTTGACTTAAAGGTAGCCCTACTGAGCAGTCTCCACAGACATTAGACAATCCACTGAAGTCCATGATCTGGATCTCGAAGGCTGCTGTACTTTTTAACTCTGAGATAGAAAAGAAGAGCTACTGATGCAGAAAGGCAGATGTTCATTCATTCCTGCAACCAGTATTTATTGAGTGTTTACTATGGACCAGGTATGTGAAGGGACAGAAGAAGATATAGCATTAAACAAAGCAGTTATGCTCCTGACCTCATGGAGCTTAGAAGATAATGAGCTTCCTTAAACTCTCCCTTTCTCTCTCTCTCTCTCCTCTAAATAGGAGAGAAACTACACACTTTGCTCTCATTACAACCACTACAGTGAAAGGCTCAATTGACTAAGGCAAAGCTTAGTAGGAAATAGCTGAGAAAGCTAAGATAATGCTTTCAAAACCCTCCTCTCACCTTCTCCCTTGAACAGCCAGAGCAGACACACAGATGCCTCTAAGCAGCCATTCAGGGAACTAGAAGAAGAGACTCAGACTACACTCCCCCCCGAACTGACGGTAAAGAGAGTTGCGTGGCTGGGAGCAGGGGCACAGAGGAGAAAGGACCTTTAGGAAAACTTGGCTTTAAAATCAGGAATGTCAGCTTATTATTGTCATGATTTCACAAGGGATCCTCAGAAGGTAGAAGAGTTTGGGTTCATATCAGAACAACATGTAGAAAGAATTAACTGGCCAGCCAAAACCTTATCTGAACCTAAAATATCTGCAACATTGGTCAACAAAGTTCAAAGAAACAGCCTTTTCCTTGCAGGCTTTTCGTGCCAAGACTCCTTCTGGTCCAGTTGTAACTGAGTGAATAAGGAAGCCAAGAAAGTGAAATGGAATTTTTGGAACTCAATCCTGGGTGTGCTGCAAGCTGAGGACAGAAATATTTGGGTTGATGAAAGTGGGGTGTAGGCTTGTTTGCTTTAGGGTCCTTCCCATCCTCCAGAACCTTGGCCAATATTATAGAGTCAGGCTGGCTTCTAAGCTCCTTGCAAAGACCAAGGTGATCTGTCTAAAACACCTCTATCTATAATATATTATATGGAGAACATTAGCCAACAACCCCCGTTTAAGACGGAATAGGTTCAAAAACTCCATATACTAGAAAAACTGGTTAGAAAAATGGAATTTGACACCATGTCAAAGAAACAGATGCAGAGGTCCTGATAAGATAGTGATATGGGCAGTGTGAGGGCTGCTGCGGAAGGTGAAGAAAAGGCCAGTGTGTGGGGATCCAAGCCTGCACCTCCTTTTGGCCAGAGCAGCTCAGCTCTCCCTCTTCATACAGTGGGGCTCTGGAAAATATTTAATTTGAGGGAAGAGATTCAAATATATGAGACAGACAGATACAAAATATATAAAACATGAAAAATCCTGGTGGCATAGAAAAAGTGCTGCATTGGGAATTAAGAGACCATGCTTCTAGTCCAGGCTGCCACTGGGCCCCTTAAGGAAGTGATCATAAGTTGCAAGTCTTTTTTTTTTTCCAACTGTTAAGTGCACAATGTTGAACAAAAATAGATAGAGGCAGGTGAGGGCAGGATTGGGGGGATGAGGGGACATTGGGAAGATAAGGACACATTTATAGTATCTTAATCAATAAAGGGGGAAAAATTTTTTTTAAAAAGAATAGCCATAAAAAAAATAGATAGAGGCAAAGAAGCATCAAACAGACTGTCAAATTACAGCGGGAAGGCAGGGGGGATTGGGGTGTGAGAAATCAACAGAAGGACATGTATGCATGCATATAAGCACAACCAACAGACACAAGACACTGGGGGAATGGGTGAGGGCAAATGCCGGGGGATAGGGGAGGCTGAGAGGAGGTCAATGGGGGGGGGGGGGGGGGGGACATATTTGTAACACCTTAAACAATAAAATTAAATTAAATTAAAAAAAAATCTCCAAGGAACTTCAGCTCCAACATAAGTTAATTCTCCAATTGCAGACAAAGGTTACAGCTGCCTTTCATGGCCAGAACTTGAACCTTACTCTAGTCTCCTCCTCCTAAGAAAATAGAGTTTTAGTTGGAGATAAACCTAGAACTACGAGTCACCTCTATGCCTAGAAGACCCCTGTAACCAAGCACAGAAAGCAGTGTAGAGAGTAAATCAGCACACTGTATTCTGAAGAGGCCTATACTGTGCCCTGGTCCATAAAATAGCCCCAACAATGATAATTATAAAGGCATGTAGTGGGTCAGACATGGGGTCCAGCATTTTATACATATTGACTCTTTTAATCCCCACAACAGTCCTAAAAAATTAGAAATATTATCATTCCCATTTTACGGATGAGGAAACTAAGGCTCAAAGTGGGTTAGTGACTTGTCCGAGATCACATTGATGCTAATAGAAGAAGCATATGGCAATGCCAGGCAGTCTGATGTTAGTGCTCTTGACCATTGTGCTGCTCAAAGTGGAGACCAGGATGGAGACTCTACTGACATTTGCGACTCACCAGAGAAAGGAGAAGAAGTTTTAAAAACAATGAACTACATTGTCAGCAAACAGGTGGCTACTCAACAAAAACTAGAATCTAGGGGGATGCCTCAATCTGCCACTTCAGAACAACCTGGCTAGACATACTGAGTTATTAAGGAGCAGTGGCTCCAAGGGACAGAGGAGAGACAGTCTGAAAAGTAGTTCTCCAAAGAAATGATGAAATCAAGTCACTGACCATTGGAAGATGAGGGAACGATAAACAGGTCCCTATAGACATGGAGAGAGAGGCATGTTGGCAAAGGGAACTGCCAGAAATTCATGTGAAGTGTCCAAGAGCCTGTCAGCATTGCTTAATGGTTCTAGGGCTGTTTGAATGGAGCTTGTACACTACCAAATTCCTGGTTTAGATATTTAAAAAGAAGGTCAGTTCTGAGTCAGGAGAGCTGAGAGAAGGTTCTACCTTTACCTGCTGAGATAGCTCTTTGTTCATATTTGTGCTGATTTCTTGGGGACAGGGTGGAAGGGAAGCAACATGAGTTATCATCTAAATACATCTACCCCTATAACATTGAACTAAATGGCACAGATATTCCTCTTCCCTGTTGCCCACAGCCTTTGCCTTCTAGTCCAGAATTTCCAGAATCCCAATCGTTCCCTTCGCTCCTCTGTCCACACTTGACCTTAAATATTCCACATGGGTTACTCCTTTTGAAAAACCTTCACATCCCTCTTCTTTCTACCCTAAGCAACAGTGGTTGCTAGCAAGCCACAAGAAATAGCACAGTCACTAAAAAGGGTCTGGAAAGGCTAGTCTTCAGGACAAAGTGAACGGGGCAACAATGGTGATGAAGTGCCACCCAAGACAGAAACCAACCACGAACAGATGGCAGGCACAGTGCCTGCCATGTGCAAAGGACTCAAGTAACACTAGAAGGAAGGAAGAAAGGAAGATAGGAAGGAAAAAAGGAAGGAAGGAAGGAAGGAAGGAAGGAAGGAAGGAAGGAAGGAAGGAAGGAAGGAAGGAAGGAAGGAAGGAAGGAAGGGAGGGAGGGGAAGAATTACTTTCATTGATAACTAGAGGCCCAATGCATGAAATTTGTGCAAGGGGGCTTGTCCCCCGCTGCTGCTGCGGCTGCCTCTCCTTGTCCCCCGCCACCATGGCTTTGTCTGGAAGGTCATCTGGAAGGACTTCTAGTCTAATTAGCATATTATGCTTTTATTATCTATATAATAGAAGAATATGCAAATTAGCTGGGACGCCGTAATATCATCACTGAACAGCAGGGACCTCAGGCTGTGCTCCCTGCCCTGAGGGGCTTGACAGGGGACCTCAGGGTGCACCTCCTGTCCCAGCACCGGGCTGGGGGACCTCTGGCTGCACCCCCTGCTGGGTGGAGCTTGATGGGGGACCTCAGGCCGTGTCCCCCTTCTCCCCCCCGCCCAGCAGGGCTTGACAGGAGACCTCAGGCTGCACCCCCTGCCCCAGCATCAGGCCGGGAGACCTCAGGCCATGCCCCCCATCCCAGGGAGGAGCCAGGGGACCTCAGA